GGGAAAAAAATGGCTAGACCCAGAGAAATATTAAGGAAGAAAAATCAACAGAAGACACAGGACAATTCACACAAACCAAAAAGACTGGAAGTGCAATGGCAATGGAATTTAATTTTTAAAATAAATAATCAATATTTCCTGTACCCAGAATATAAACATAAGGTTCCAGTTTGAAAATCCCTAGATGCCATCAATCCAAGAAAAATCCCATGAAGTAGAGCAGCAACAGGCTCAAAGTAGACACATGACAAGAGCAAGAACTCGAGTCCCAAAACTTATTTGGATGCACCTACTCCACCTTTTGTCTTAAACTACAGTTATCACTAGGTATAGCACAGTATTGACGACCAAGGCAAACATCTGTTAGAATGTACAGCAACACGCTCTTAACACATTTTCCAGCACACAAATGATGGCCTGACCCTTAATGAGCTGTCTGGCTGCACCCCAGCCACCCCAGCTGGGTGGGAGCTGGTCTTTGGTTGGGATGGAGATTCAAAGGATTTTCCTGATCTCTCTCCTGTTTGAGGTGATAAAGGCCGATCAAAAGGAAGAGAAGGACCCCTCCAGGTAGGCAAAACCTTTTTTACCCCACACTAGAAAGGTAAATCATCGGTTCAGGATAGAATCACAGGGATTTTGATGTGATCCACACAAGCAACAAAGCCTTTGCTGCTCAGCTGCTGATGATTTCCTACGTGGCCCAGTCAGAGAACCTGGTGTTCAGCACTGAAGTTCTGTAGCTATTTACTTTGGGGAAAGATTAGGAGGCTAATAAACAGACCCCGGTCATGCACGCTGAAAAATAACAATGAAAGACATTAACACTGAAGCCAAACAGCCTCCCACCAACACTCCTTTTCAAGTAGGAAAATTTTTCAGTGAAGGCACTAAACTTGCCAAGGTCTTTTAATTCAACTGGCAGGTCCCAGCAGCCCCCTCTCACTGTCTTCAGCCCACGACTGTGCTGCAGCCCAGGCACCAGGACCAGACAGAAAACGCCGTCACATTAAACCTCCTTTGTTCCAAAAAGTCCTTTCTCCTGCATAAAGTGGTATCGAGTTAAACTGCTGTGAGACTCTTTTTTTTTTCTTCTTACCCCTCCAATCTGCTTATGGCCAGGGAGAAGGGCTGGCAAACTCCCAGGGAACAAAAATAAATAAATAAATAAAATCACTACTTAAGTGAGAGGACAATGGAGGTGCGGGAACAAGTTTCCACTTTCAGCTCGAACATGAAAAGCCCGTTTCACGCCATTAGAGCGGCGAAGCTCCGGAACAGCTTTGCAGTGGGAGGCAGTGGGGGCAAGAGAGAGAATGAGCTGCGAGGCAGAGCCCCAGCACTCCCCTGAGGGGATGGGGAGAGTCACTGCAGATGGCAACACAAGGCAGGACCCAATGACTCAGTTGTCTTCCTGATCTGGGTTGGATAAAGGAGAGGGTTGAGATCAAATCCATTCAGCGCCTTCTTAATCCTGAGCAAATCAAGCAATCCCCAGCACTCATGTGTTTCCCTCTAATCACCACCCTCACTTGGTGACATCAAGGGAATGGAAAAGCTTCACCTGTCTTAGAACTGAGAAGATGCTGGGCCTGCAGGAAATGTGTTTACAACCACCTCAGCCATGCACTACCCACCCTCAAGCTCTTATATGAATTGTTACACCAAAACACCAGATCTGCACAGCTCTGCAGCACAAAGCTCGGATACCAGACTCCCCTCCAGCATGTGCCTTCTGCTCTTCCTCCATCCTTCATCCCCTCTGAGCCTTGGGCACAGAGGCTGTTGTTACCCAGAATCTGTGTTCCAGTAATCCATCCCAGATAAGAAAGATGAAAATGATAACAAGCCATGTAAACGGCTGATGGAGGGTTTAAACTGCAGGATTGCTTTGATGGGATTTCCATTTCTGTCTTCAGAGCCTCCCTGTCCTCCTACAATGTAAAATGATTCTCACTCCATGGAGACACAAGCCTAAGTCATAGAAAAACCGAGTAAAGAGAGAAATACTCAAGGTCTTGTTATGCCCTGAGATAACCATCCGTCTCATGATGCGAGGAAAGATTGCCTGAGACAAAGAATCATTTAGGAAAAAAAAAAAGGCTGAACTGCCACACTAGTCTTGAAGAAAAAAAGATTATTCTAATGCACAGAGAGCCATTACACACCAGCAATTCAGCAACATTGCTCAGTTTGCACTTAGGACGGCATTTACAGACGCTGTCTTCACTGTGAAAGCACAGCTTTAAACCCACGAAACAAACATGAAAAAAACACGCTGCAAACCGACACCCAGGACACAGAAGTATGTAGTGACAGGGGACCCGAAGCCCCATCTAATGACTTTATTACAGTGCCTTCTACCCCAGCATTCAGTTCCAAAGATGTAACCAAGGCAATCTCATTACTCGTTACAGACGGATGACATTTTTGGAACTGAAATATCTTTTATCCAAAACAACCTCTTGTTGCAATTTAAGGTTTTGTAAAGATACAATTAATAAAAACCTAAGTTATCAAATAAGACCCACAAAAACCCTGCAAGTGAAAAATATAACCTCTCAGGTTATTTTCCACTCTGATTTTCACATTCTGCTCTGGCATCCTTTCTGCATTCCCGGCTGCCATGGTCACTGTAAGACTGTTCTCCCCATCTGAGACATGTCCTCAAAACCTGGGAGGAATCTTTGGAAACTCTGCTTTTTGCACAAGAGATTTTGCAGCCAGGCACATACACTGGTCCTGGGGAAGACCCAGATCTGACCTTCCTGAACATCACACTCAATACCACATTCCACCCAGCTGCAAGTGTTCATATCCTGTGCACGGACCAGAGGAACACACAGACCAGAGGAACACACATCTTGAACTCAGCAGCCTTGCTTGCAGGGCTTGGCCACTTAAATAATCCTCAGTCATGATTAAGTGGCAAATTCTGGCCCAGACCCAGGCAAGCAGCAGGTTGTGCTTGGATCCCCCCAAGGAGATGTGATGACCCTGCGGGGGATGAAGTTATTTACACAGCCCAGGAGGAGAAGCACTGCCTCCCTCCATGTTCCCTCTCCATCCCCAGCTTTGATTTTTGCATGGTCACAGCTTAGTCCAACAATGCCAAGCTGTGAGCTTCTTTGCTTCAGAAACCCAGGGATTTGTTACAGACACGGAATACCTGGGACAAGCAGTGACTTCAGGGCTCTGGCTACTGAGCCTCTCCCAAATGCCAAAACAGTAACAAAAGAAAATAACCCTTTTTGACAGCAGGGAAGGGATAAGAAACAAACAAAATTTCACTAGCTGGTTGATTTCTAAAACAAATATTTCCAAGAGAAAAAGAAAACCCAGCTGGCTTCCAAATACACAAATTAAAGTGACTAACAGAGAATTATATTTCTGATCCATCCTGTTCTTTGTTATCAGGATTCCTGAGCTAAATGGCTGTCTCTTAAAGTGGATCCTGTTCTAACTGAGGATTTCAGGAAAAGGCACACACCCACCTGAGAAGTAGAAATAATAAAAGAGGGATCCTGACCTTTGGCTTCCCCCTCAGCTGAACTAAATCAGCCCTATGACGATACTCACATGTGAGAAAGCACAAGTCCACCCTGCTTTCCTCATCTTCTGTTCATTCCCCATCCTCCCACTTCTTTCCTTCTCACTTTATTTTCTTGACTTTTCCAGGGTCAGCTGCACACCTGGTTCCAGCTCTCACCTTTATCTCTCTGTGCATCTCACTTCTCAGCAAAGAATATACTTGCACTCCATTCTGGAGGCTCTCTTAACCCCTATCCTGCCTATCTGCATTACCTCATCCCCAGAAAGACCTGGCCTGCCACACCTGCCCAGGATGAATAATTGAATTCAGGGTGAATATTTTCTGTATCACCTCCAGACACGAGATAATATCTTAAGTAACCCAGAGCATCTCAAGTTTATTGTCACTCCCAGGCAGACGAGCACACTCCGCACCACGAGTAGCTCTTGTTTGCCAAAGGAACTGAATCAAAGTAGTCACTAAAGAAATTGGGTTGATGAACAAGGAGCTGGTCCCAGGGAAGCAATGCCACAAGAGTTCAGAAGAGGCTGAATGGTATTAATATAGCACATCTTGTGTTACAAAAGCCACTGGCCCAAATTCTCCTCTCTGAGTTTCAGATTCACTAAGACATCTCTGTATGCAAACATCACTAAAAGCAAAATATGGTTTTGTTGTTTTACAAGCCCTTTTGGAGCTTTTACCAACAACCCTCTTTCCCTGATGTGAGCTATTTTACTGTCCTTCAGCCTCACCTCCACCCTGATAGCACTGAGAAACTTCCCATTTTGCAGAGGGGTAGGGAGAATCATCCCACAGACCTGAATGGTTTGTAAAGACCCAGGTTTGTAAAGTTTTCTCCAGGAAGGAACAATTTAGGCAGACGCCTACTCGCTGAGCCCAAGCTGTGCTCAGCAAGGCACCTCAAAGGTGGGCTGGTACAGTCAGGCAGCAGCACCAGGCAGCAGATGGGTGGGAGCAGGCAGAGCAGCGCGGCGCTGCAAAGCCGTTCACGCTGTGCTGAAAGTTCTTTGTCCTTTCCAGCTGGGTACCGGGGGAGACAACACGTCTGAAAGTGAACTGCAGTGTCCTGAGATGCAGGTTAGGGATATAAAACCACTGGTAGTGGTAGGAGCTGGATAGGGGTATCCAACAGATCTTGAAATCCTAAGCAAATCAATATCTGGGAAAATAAGATTCAGCTGAAGTGTTGGGTTTTCTTTAACCTATAGAATGACATAGGCTGAGAAGGACATCCTTTCTGTACACCTCTTCAGAGCCATCCTGCTCAAGCTAATACAAATTTAGGTGTTTCTATATGGTGATTTTTTTTTAAAAGGAAAGACACTTGTTCTGCAATTTTTCTAAGGTTGTTCTCAAAGGCGGGTCCCACCGCCTCGTGCAGACCCTGCTCAGCAAGAGCATCACACCCCGACCCCAACAATTCACCATCCAAAGGGCTAGAAAGACGTTCCGAGCCCAGATTTTCTCCCGTCTACGCACGAAGACGGCTACGGACATTCCAGCCCCGCTCCCTGCACAGCTTAGGCACTCATCGATGGCAGCTGGGCAAAGGTTGGTCGGCAGGGTGGCCGCAGCGATGCCTCTGGTTGTCCGCTCGCTGACAGGGCAGTAGCAGCCGAGGGGACACGGAGGACACGCCGCCCCCGCAGCACCGGGCACCCCCGGCAGAGCCCCCGCCGCCCGGCTACCGGCCCCGGCCGCGCTGCAGCCCGCGGGGACCCGCCGGGATGACATCAGCGCTCACAGCCGGGCGAGGAGCCGGGCCGGGCCGGGGGGGGACCGGGGAAACCTCGGCAGGGGCCGGCCCGCGGGGACCGCGGCAGCGCAGCGCATCCCCGCACCGGCCGCGGAGCATCCCCGCCGCATCCCCCCGGGGTGGGGAAGGGGGGTCGGGCACCCCCTCGGCGGGGCGCAACCCCCGCCGCTCCCGCAGAGGGCAGAGCCCCCGCGCCGTCGCTGCCTCCGCGCGGTGCTGTGCCGTTCTGTGCCGTTCTGTGCCGTGCTGTGCGGGGCGGACAGGTGCAGGTGCGGCCGCCGCCCGCGCCCCCCGCCTCTCCTCCCCTTGCCCTGCCCTGCCCTTACCCGGGGCGGCGCAGTCGGCGCACGCCGCGTTCCCCGGCCGCTGGAGCAGCTCCACCAGCGCCTTCCTGCTCCTCTCCTTCGCCATGGGGGCGGCGGGCGGCTCCGCGGGGCTCCGCTCGCTCCGCCGCGCTACCGCAGCCTCATGGTGCGGGCGGGGGGCGCTGGCGAGGCGGGCGGCGCCCGGGCGGCTCCATTCGGCCCCGCACGCTGAACGCGCCTCTCCGGCCGCCGGGACGCGCCGCTGCCGGGGCGGTGCTGCCGCTGCCCTGGGAGCCTCTGGCCCCGCCGCTGCCGGGGCCGCCCGGCCGGGCACGCCGCCGGTTCCGCCTTCTCGCCGGGCCCCGGGGGGCTGGTGGCTCCCCCGCGCCGCTCGCCCGCGACCTCCAGCGGCTGCTTGTGGCCCGGGCGCCCCGTCCCCCCCTTGGGGGGGGTCCCCGAGCTTCAGGGCGTCCCATCCCTCCGGGTGTCCCCAGCACTCAGTGGTCCCTTCCCTGGTTTAACTCGGGGTGACGGTGATGGGAGGGGATGCTCTCACTCATGGGGTGGGAGCCGGCGGGGAAGGGGGAGGTGGATGCCGGGGGTCTTTGCCTGGGGGAGGTGGCAGCTCACAGCATCCCCCACCCCTCACTGGCCATGGCCTCACCACTCAAGCACCTTGGCAGGTTCACGGGCAGCACTTTTGGGGAGCGTTTTCAACATCAGCATCTTTTGGGGGTACTTGTGAACATCTCACTAGTAGCCACACACGCTCCAAAACACTCCTCCTTCACTGCTGTCCTTCCACACATCACCACCACCTTCCACGTCTGTGTCTTGGCAGGACCATCCTCCAAGCATCTTCCCACGCTTTTCACACTCTCCATAGTGTCAAGGGAATATCAGGACAGAAAACGCCCCTGGGGAAGAACCACAGCTTCCTTGTGTCATCATGTCTGTGTTGCTGGGACCCAGGGCTGCAGCCCCTCGTGCATGTCATGTCACCTACAGGCAAGGCTCCTGTCCTTGTTTTACCAGCTAAGGACTAGGGGGCGACCGTGGGTGGCGATGTGGGAAGCCTTTGGCCAAGGAGGGGTTTGGAGCTGTGTCTTGAGGCTGCTGCCCAAACTCCTGCTGAAACCTTCCTCTCAGATATGGGTCACCTGCAATGCTGATGTGTCCTGTTTGTGGTTCATACATCTCTGCTTATAGAAACAATTTTGGTTCTGCAAAGCAAGTCCCCCATTCAAGCTGTCGCTCTCTACTTCCTCCAACAAAGCAGAGCCCTCCTGCAAGTTCAACTCATGTCGTTCATGCTGCCCATGAGGTTCAGGGTGTGCAGGAGCATCTGCAGGAGGAGCCTGCCAGTATATCCTGGAAGACTTCCACAACCAAATCACCATCTTGATCCTGCTCCAGATGTGAGCAGGTTCCAGAGGACACTTTGTGTGAGGAAATAGCGTAACACTCTTAAATACGGATAGAATCAGGGCCTGGCATATTTATGTTTGCCCCACTTGCCTAGAATATGTTTTTCTAAATGACCTTTGCATTTGTGCTGCCAGACACGCAACTGTAACCAGGCTGATTTCTGACTGCTTTAAACTGATATCGGACTGTTCCTTGCTGACTCTGCTGGGTTTGCTGGTTTTACACACATAGGCTTATAACGTCTGGAAACTCATTCCCATGCTAACCAAAGGCACAGTCCCACACACAGGCCTTTGGTGGGCAAATTGAGCTACTGCATCCAGACCCTCACCTTCTTCAGCCTCTGAGTCACTAATACTTACCTAGAGCAGAGCACTGACTTCTAACATCCTCTGAGACAAACCAGCTCAGCACATTATCTTAGCCCTTATCCTCCACACCTGTGATATGCTCAAGCTTGAAGTGTAAATGCTTACAGGATCAGAGCTTTCCCTAAGCTCAAGTTAGGTCAGGTTTTCATTTGCACTCTGGTTTTTCCAGGAGAGGCACTTGCTGAAGGCTTCATATGATAGCCAGGATGCTGCATCACGAACTTACCACAGGCCAGGGTTGGGAGGAGGGAGGGGGTTTGGTTTGAAAGTCGCTGTTTAGCTTTCCATTAAGACTTATTGATTCTCTTAATTTTTTGTTCTCCTGGTTGCTAGGCAATCCCTCTCTCTCCTCCGTGTGTTGGAAGCCAGGGCTGCAGACAGAAATTTATATCTTGTAATAAAATCAAATAAAACAGAGCCTGTTGTCAATGATGAAAGGGGAGCATTTCATAAAGGACGGACAGAGCAGGAGAGCAGGGCCAGCAAGGGTCAATCAGCAGCATCCTCAGAATTTAAGTCTCATCAGAATGACTCCAGACTTCACATGGGGAAACAAACAACCCATATGGGCGGAGGGAACATGGAGAGACAGGGAGAAAAGTTGGAACTTAATGAGCCAGAATCGAAGATAAACTTTTGTTCAGTGGAAAATCAAAGGCTTCAACCAATCTCACATATAAAAGAGTACCTCTGTAAGTTTACGCCTGGTTTATCCAAGGTTAAGAGGTTGGGTATTGTCCCAGTGTTGATCCAGGGCAGGCAGTGAGGCTCTCCTGATGGGACATTGGCTCCTAAGGATTGTGATTCCTGGTGTAGAGCAGGGACAGCATCCGAGTTTATAGTCTCACGAGGGTTAAAGGGCAAAGTTTGCCCCGTCAGAGGCTCCCAGAGGCTGCTGAGCCTTGTCCACGTCAGACTGTTCCCTCCTGCCTCTACCCACAGGAGTCAACACCTCCTCTGAGCTTTGCCCCACAGTTGCCCGTGGGTATGGCCTGTCAGGGAATGCTAAATGAATTTGCTCCTACTTCTTGCAAGGTCTCTGGCCAAACTCTCTGGAGATGCGTTGTCACTGTCAGCACATCACCATCATTCAGGTGCTTTCTGTCTCTCCACTGCTAAGTGACTTGTAGGTCTGATATAAATTTATATACATATGTATGTAAATACTTACATATTTATGTGTAAGATGTGTTTGTTTGTAAACACACACACTTTTAACTCAGTCTTTTCTAAACCACAAGGTTGTTGCCTTAGAAACGGACGTTATTAATGGGATCTCTTGAGGTGGTAAGCACAGTGGCAGCAAGGGCAGCCTCTGGAAATGCCAGATACTGAGGTCAGGGCAAAGAATGCTCAGAAATTTCAGGAAACCTTTCCATCATCTTTGTGGTGACACCCTGATAATGGACGGACATAACCATACCTTCTCCTTGCCCTTCCACATCAGCTCCTTTTACCCCGAGACTGCCTTGTTTTGTCAGGAAAGAGCTCTTTACACTGGTTTTTTAGTTAATTTTGCAGCCCCGGCCCTGAAATGGCTAAATCAATGTCAGAACCATGCAAGTGAAAGGGTGTTAAACACAACCCTTTATGTGACCCGGGAGCGCGTTCACAGCGTAAGGTGGGGAAGCATTACAAATTCCTGCGTGAACAGCAAACCTGAACAGAGATATCAATAATTCATGCCACCGCAACTGCATTCAAGCAAAACTCTGGAGTAGCAGATACACCAGGCTGGATCCTTTAGGCTTCCTCAGCACCACAGGGGAGGCAGCTTTTGCAGCTGGAGGTTTGTGAGAACAAGCTACAGCACTGGCCAGCTGCACCTATGCTACAGCAGCTCATTTCCGTTGCAGTTTTGGTTTCCTGTTCAAAACAAAAAAAGAAAAAGAAAAAAAAAAAAAAGGAAGAAACTTAAATCCTAGAGGTTTTTCTTTAAAAAATTACATATCTTGTTTTCTGGGTTATCCAGTTAAATCAAGAGTGGCAACAGCTGAGAGGGAGGAATGCCACAGAGGAGAGGGCTCAGATCAAGGGAATTAAAAACTCTTGAACTGAAAATCCAATACTGATGCCAACTTTCTCTGATTTTGAGCAAATTGCTGTGTGGATCCTGTGGGATTGTTCTTCTGTGGAACAGGGAAAAGCACATTCATTGCATCTGCATGGTTAGGATGTGTTGGTCAAATTGAAGAGAAAGTGATGAGAGGGTGCAGAAATAACAGTGAAGTCCTGTGTCTGCAGAGCTGCTCTGCACCTGCACCAGCCCTCAGAGAAGACAAAGTGTGGTGCAGCTCCAAAAGTACCTCACTGCAGAGTGATTTGCAGGTCAGGGTTTCATTCCATTTGCACAGTGGTTAACTCTGTTGCAGCCCAGTGTTACCAGTGTGAAAGATGGGGAATCCTTTGCTCCAGTGATTTAATAGTCGTGGAGGTAACATCATGCACACAGAGATCCTCTGTAAGGCAGCAGAAATGGGGAGAATGAGGACAAGAAGGGGGTTCAGAGTAAAATCTCTGCTGACTTCTTTAAACACCTTTTTTTTAGGTTTCTGCAACACTCTAGAGCTGATCATTGATCTCTCACAGCCACACTGCCAACAAAAAGGAAAGTTCTCCGATCACCAGCCCGTCACGTGCTCAGGATATCCTTTCAGCTTCCATTCCGCCTGCCCCTGGCCAGCTCACTGCAGCAATGGGCTGCTTTGGGAGTTGGTATGTGGTTGCAGGGGCTGCTTGATTGCTCAGACAGTGTTGTTGGGAGCCAAGAGACCTCAGAGAGAGAGTAAGGGGGTAATTGATAGCTTGAAGATGTTGGATATTTGTATGTCTGCTCCACAGCATACGAGGAAATCTCAACACAGAAAAACAGCTCTGTAACAGTCATGTTGCTGTTGTACCAAACCCATTTCATATGATGTAAAAGATGACATGGAGGGGGCAGCTGAGGGAATTGGCTCCATGGCAGCTATGAGGCACCTGTCTGGAGCTGTGCCGATTTCTATGGCCTAATGCTCTCAGAGAAGATGAAATTAGGCCAATGAAATCAATAATTCAACTATGTCACTGGTAGACCACTGCTTTGAGCATTATTCCCCACCTATCCCAATTAAAAGATTTAGGCCTGTGGAATCTCAGTATGGAGAAAGCCAACCTATGTGTGAAGACACTCATATGTCAGGGTATCAGCTCCTCCAAGAAAAGTCAAAGTGATTATTCAGAGCAGGACGTCATCAACTCAGTCTGAGTCAGAGGCACGGCAGGACAGGTTCGATGTGCCAACCACAGGGCAAGCACTTACCATGGAAATTGCTTTTGCTCAATTCCAATAATTTAATCTCTTCCTGGCTCAAATGGCTCATTCTTCCAGGAACAGCTTGGAGACATTCAAGCAAGAGAGAGGGCTGCATGATGTCCCATTCCAGGGTGGCGACAGAAGTGGCCCAGCCAGCTGCTGCCAGCTCTGGGTTCCTGGGAAAGCAGTGGCTGATCCTGCCAGGAGCCCAGTGCAAAGAGAATGATGGAGATGATACAGGCATGACCACAGGTCAGAGGGGCTGAAGCCCAGCACTTCACTTCTGGTCTGAAAGTCCCTCAGAAAAAAAAGAACAAACCATTTTCAAAGGGCACAGAAAAGAAAATGGTGCAGTTATTGGCCCCAGCAGTCAGTCTCTTGTCATAGGCTGCTGCCTTCAGCTGCTGGTCCAGCTCAGAGAGCTGAGACCACATAATTTTCTGTAACATTGCTCAACTGTGATTTGAATAAAGCATTAGATGGAAACAAGGCTGTGGTTTTTCTCTAGAAAGAGATTAAAAATTATGGCCTGAAGGAAGCTGCCAAACAGCTGGAGATGGTAATTCAGCCTCCCCCCAATTAACTTTGTCCACAGAAAGTTGAGGACTGTGTCCTACTCTTCCTCTGGCTGCTGATGGGATTGTTTGGATGTCACTGCATGCCTCCTAAAAGCTCCCACAACATCAAGATACAGAGCATGCTGCTCACTTCTCTGCTTATTTCAGTATGCTTTGCCAAAGAAAAATCAGCAAAGAATTAATTAACAGCAATTATTTCTAGCAACAACAGAGCAGCCCTGCTCCAGAAGCCATGAAAACAACATCATGAGACCCCTGTGGCCAAAAAGCCTTTCTAAACAGGTGCAAAAATAAACAATTTTATAGCAGGCTATAAAAAGAGCCGAAGCCAGGTTGGGGAATGGCAGGAGAACAGCCATTTCAATGGCTGAGTCAGAGCAGCCACCCAGGTGACTTTTGTGAAGGAGCTTTAATAAACAAACCACAGCAGAAGCACTAACCTGAGTGAAAGAACCAGCAGGACCAGGTTATTGCTGCAATAGAGGGTTTAGTACACCTGTCACTCTGTGTTATTAGTGCTGCTGAAGTGATTTACTGTCCAAGTCAGTCTAACCGATTAGAGCTGTGATCTAAAGTACAACCAGCTCCAGTTTCAGTGATAAACATCACCACCCCCACCCCCCCCCCGCCTATTACTTGCTAAAATAAGCTGAAATAAAGCCATCAATCCAGACATCTCTGTGTTCAAATGAGTCCTTCTGGCTGGCACCACCACACCTGCAAGTCTCCTGCCATGCACGCTGGAAGGATGGAGGTAGATGTTCCAGACACGCTCTCATTTTTCACCTACCTGGTTCTTTTTCACCAGCCAGTGAACTCAGTATCTCTGTCCCTTTGACCAGAACTCACACACCTCCTGTCACCAGAGCCCTGCAGTGACCTGGTTCCTGTAACATCTCTGTGCTGCCCTTGCACATGCTGAGCATCCCTCACAGAGCTCAGGATGCATCTCCTGTCAGGTTGTTCACCTCCATGCTGTGTCATTGTAGGTGGCAGTGGATAGTTCCTCTTTCCCACCAGACTCTGCAGCACAGTTTGGGGAGGGGGAGAACTGAACTGAAGCCCACACTCCACTCTCCTGTACCACTCACACTGATGTCTGTGCACACAGACTGTTAGCACCTGACCCGTGGCATTGCCTCTGCTCTCCCATAGGGATACTGCTCTGGGATGGGGCTGCACGGACACAGTACACCTATACCTCTAGATCAGACAGACATTTGAAGGCACAGAGAAAGGGGACAGACTTATGCTGCCTTAGCAACCACTCTGAGCATGCACAGAGATGTGCCAAACAACAGGCACACCCTGGAGTGTGTGCTCTCTATGGGCTGGGCCACAGCGATGGGTGATGAGGACGAGGGGTTAAAGACAACCTGCTACATCCAGGGGTTTACAGCACAGCATAACTCCCACCTCGACACTAAAGAGCAAAAGCCAAGGGAGGCAATCCCAGAGTTGCAAGCAGCCAGCCTCATTACACCCCTGGGATTTCCTGCTTGGTGCTTGTTCATGGGTCTGTGAAGGCTCATTTATCAGTGGGGGGCTTTGCTCCTGCCTAGTTTGGCATCCTGAGTTACCAGCAATTTTCTCAGCACTGATCTGATCCGCAGCTTCTCTGCAATCCTGAGTGGCAGCAGGATTTCTTTTCCCCTTTGAGTCTGCCTGCCCCAAAACTGGCTTCCTCAGTGTGATGAAATGCTTTGGACCATCCATCCAGCCATACTACCTGGGGCTGCCAGTGAAACCCGGAGGGGAAAGGTCCTTGGTAGATTGGCAGCAGATGGCTGCAGTACACAGCATCACATCAAATCCTCAGGGCTATCCTGGTGTCCCAGATTCTGTAGTGCTATCATTCTCCTACTTTGTCCACTAAGGAGAGATTCAGTGCTTACAAACCCTGCTGAAACGCAGAACATGGTTTAATAACAGAGAAATGTAAATTGAGCAAACAAAACTGGGCCTGACTCCCTCGCAGAGCACCCCCTCCCATGTGGCTGCCTTCCCACGTGCTATCCTTGATTAGCAGCTCTGCAAGCAGGAGCAGAACTGGGTGTGTGAGCAGGTTCTTGCTGAGCAGGACTTGCTAGCAGTGAGAAAACTAGAAATCCTCCAGAAATCAGAGCTGTCAACTCCTTGAAGGTTACTAAAATAGACAAAGGACTCAGTTGCCCAAAGGGGCTGCAGAAGCACCTTCACTGCCCGCTTTTTAAACCTATCAAGGTGAATTGAAAAGCCTGGATCATTCTGGGTAGTCTCCTCGCTTTCTTTCCTGCTCTGCTCTCTTTTTTCAAGGCAACTTCCCACCACTCTTCCTATCAGAGTTTGCCATAATTCATAAGGACCAGAACAGAAAAGCATCCACAATACTGGGTGGTCTAAGGTGTTGCTCATTACCAGGAAGCAGGGCACACAGCCAGATGGACCCCCAACATCCCTCCCACATCAGTAGGAACCTACCTCACCCTGTGTGGGAGCTGGGACAGACTGCTTGTGGAGGCATCCCACTGGAGGTGGGAAATATGGGGCACCAAGGGCTGGATTCAGCCCACCAGATTTGATCAACTGAACTGTTTTACACTCACAGATACAACTGTGGCCTTTGTTGGGCTATATGGTGAATGCCAGGCTTTTCTGGGGTGTTTTTCGTCCAGCCAAGCCCAGCAGGGATCAGCAAGCATAAGACTGATGCACCTGCTAATGCAACTCCCAAGATCTCCTGGAATAATGAGAGCACAAGCATCAGAACCTCTAAGAGGAGCCATAAAAACCTGTCCCTGTATCATCATCAGTCTCAGGAAACAAAAAATGCATCAAGGTCTATTAAGTCCCCTGCACACATGCATTGAACTTCTAGGTGACTTTCTATGAAGCTTCTATTTTGAGCAGTGATCAATTATGCATTTCAAGCCATATGGCACCTTCATTCCAGAAGAAAGGCATTTTGTCTTGAAATTTGTAAGCTAGAAAATCTGCAAGCTAGAAAATCTGCTGCATCCTGAAAAAAATGCAACACTGCCAGTTATTCACAGCAGCAGGATCATTAAGGGAAGAAAAAAAAAAGGGGGAACCAGGATAAGATTAATCAGACATCCAATTTTCACTGAAATACTCTGGAAGGGAAAATGGACCCTTGCATGTGCACTTGCAAATAGGTTTTTAATTAATCTGAGTCAGAGTTTTGATTTTTGTGGGAAACCCGATGCTTTACACAACATTACAAATTTAGCAGAAGGATCTCTTCCAGAATGGATCTCCTCCAGGCACAAAAGCAACTGAGTCCTCTGGGGTCACTGAATATGCTACCAGAAATGACCACACTCCTGCATTCTAGCAGAAGCATCATTCCCATCCCAGGAATTACGGATGAGAAATGTAGAAAAATACTGCTCTCCAGTGGAACCAGAACATCCAAGGCACTTTGAGAGCCTACAGCAACAAGCGATGCTAAAGAGACTTTTCGTATGGGAGCAGGCTGCTCCTTCTCTCATAGCCTCACACAACATACGTTTCATTCCAGAGGCTCAGTGAAAATAGTGTTGCCTCTCAGTGCTCTCCAGGCCTGCTTGGAATAAGACAACAAGGTGAAATTTAAGAGGTGCTTTAACTCTAGTTACCCCTCACTCACTGTTAGTGCTGGTTAAGCCAAAACCACAAAAGCAGCAGTAAGGGAAAGCTGTTTTGATTGCTGCCCCAAAGGGCAACTAATCATCAGCAAAGGCCAACAACTCCATGGTCTCCAAAGGAAACCAAGTGGGTGACTACTAGACATAAGTGTAATGCCCAGGCACAAGGAACTCCTTGGATTTGAAGCAGGCAGGACAAACTGGGGAGAAGGCCTTGGAAAAGGGCCAAATGTGAAGGTCAGCAGCTACACCCACTGCCTGCCTCTAACTGTGCACAACCCCAAATATTCACTTCACAGGTGCTGACAGATGCAACCCTTCTGCTACACCAGGTACGCCATTCCAGGTGGCAGATGGAGCAACAATCCCTCCTCAGCCCAGAGGCACGGGCTCATTGTGCTCCCACAAAGGACTTTGGACCATGGCCCACTTCCAGAGTAAGCACAGGAGGCTCTCTTTGTGTAGGATTTTCTGTGAAAGCACACCCAGAGCTTTGGAAATTTTTATTAAACCCTTTCTTCCTTGTTCTGCAGGTCACTGCAGTTGTTTGGAGAGATACACCTAGAGCTCAAGGTCTCCCAGGAAGACATAACGAGGGTTGGCTTGCAGCAATGTTCCCTCTGTAAATAACTGCCGTGATCAAGGTTAAGCTCTTTGTGGTTGAGTGGATTTTAATATGAGCAAAGAAAGGGGGAATGCATGGGCAAGGCTCTCCCCAGTGCCAACAGCAAAGCTCTGCTGTTCCAGGGCCCTCCGGGGACTCCCTGGGACTGATCCCAAGCAGCAGAGTGCCTCCTTAGGGTGGGAATGAGGGTCTGCTGAAGGAAAGCTACGGAAAAGACAATTACAGCCCCCTCACTTATTGATTCTATTGCTGCGGTAACAGCTCAAATAGATCTTCGCTCCAACACAGTCAACACTGCCTCCTGCTTCGGGCTATCCCTTCCACATCTGCACATCCAGGCTGGCAGTCCGTGCATCAATCCCAGCCCAACCTCATTTCCCAGTCATTTGCCTGTCTCCAGCTCGCGAGATTCGTCAGCAGGTGGAGCTTTTCAGCAGCTCAGGCAGCACCTGGCAGGCTTCTCACAGGAAGATTAATGCACTTGCGTGGGACCACTCCCGCAGCAGAGCAGCTCATCAACTCCAAACAGCTCCACGAAGGAAGCAGTGCCCCTGACAAACTGCCTCCCCTCTAGCACACACACCTCAGCTCAGCGTTTCCAGAATACAGATTTTTTTCCCAGCTTGGTGACAGGCTTCTGGAGAGGTTTCTCCTTGGTATGGGCACAGGAAAGATGGCTGTGAATTTACAGCTTTCCTTTGGCTTTCATTTTAAAGGAGCGCACACCTGGATACCACAAGCAAAGCTAAAATAAAGAGGTTTTAAATGGAGAGGCTTTAACTAATGATCTGTATGTTGGCAGGAGTTAATTGAAGAGCATTCTGGGAATTCTCCCCGATGACTCTGGTGTCGCAGGGGCTTGTCCTGTAGAGCAAGTTGGGAAAACTGTTTGACCCAGGTTTGGCACTGATTAATGGCTTTTTTTCCCACCACATCTCAGTTGCATTAGATCTCACTGTCTGATGTCCCTCACCAGCTTTGAGCTTACCTTACAGCTCCACTGAACATGTTCTCTTCTCCAGCTAATCCTTACAAGAAATATGTGCTTCTGCCAATTCCCCAAGTTTTCAACTATCCACTCACAGCTCTTTTCTTGCCCTGGCATGAGGGGACAGCGCTGTGCAGCTGACTCACAGTGCTGGGAAGCAGAATGAAAGGTGCCTATGGATCTGGACAGGATGAGGATGTGATCTTAGGGTTGGTGAAAAGTGCAAACCTCTCACCCCCGTGGTCCCTTTTAGAGTGGCAACCACTCAACACCTCAAAAACTTTACCCCTTTTACTCTAGAACATTGCAGAGGACAGAGCTGGCATCAATGTCTCAGGAAAACATGGACTGAACTCATGAAGGAACTGTTTGGCCAAACTACAGTGCAGACTAACACCCAAAAATTGAAACTAGCATTGATAACAGCCCAGATTACTCCCCCACCACTGGTGGGTTCTTTCACACCTACCAGGAATTCACTTCACCTTATAATATTCAAGGAGCACAGAAGCATGAAATTTGATTTCTTTCTTCTGCAGATGCTGGAGATTATTTTAATTCTAACTTGGTATCACTGAAAGAAAGCTCTTGTTCAGTGGTTTAATATAAAGTCTTTTAATATCTGTTGCAGAAATACAATCTCTGCTTTCTTTTCTATAAATGTACTAATCTCACCAAAGGATATAATTTGAACAGTAGAATGAAGTAGAATAAAAATATGCAGCAGCAGGCGAATGTTCTTTTCAAACAGGAACCCGCTCTGAGCTGTGTGCACTCTGTTCCATCAGATTAGACCTGAGCAACAATTTAAATCTCAGCTCCAGTGATCAATATGAAAAGCAGAAAATGTTCTTCCACCCTTTCCTGGAGCTCAGTGTGAGCAGATGCACAGTGGAGAGAAGCAGAAGCAAAAGCAGACAGCAGGGAAGGGGAGATATATCAAAGAGAGGACACCAAATAAAGAGGAAAGTGTTGGAGAATTGCCTTGACAAACAGATCACTGTTTGTATCACTGTCTGCAGGCCCTGACCCTAAAGCTTAACATTCAAGAACCAGATAGGCAGAGAAATGAGTCACTGGATTAAAAACAAAAACAAAAGAACAGGGGTGACAGGGCAGAAAATACAGTAGAAAATACATCCAAAGGATTTACAAATTTATTGCCTGCTTGAAACACATTTCTAAGGGGCTAACAGGCCAAACTATTTCTGCCTGAACTCAACATTAATTAAGAAAGACTCAATTGCATTACTACATGCAAGAGAATGGCTTTGGTAATTCATGGTTAAATTATACAAACACATATCAGGGATCTTAAAGACACACTCAGAGCTGATTTCTCACCTGCTGCATGGCCTTCTCAATGTATGGGCTGCAGCTACGTATGTTGGAAGAAACACTGGATTTCTTAGACAGCTAACTCCTGATCTACCCTGGTTTTTAATATAAAACATTTGATTTTAAAAGAATAAAATTGTCCAATCACATTATGTATATTTGGTAACTTAGAGCACAAATAAACACCATTTCTGTCTCCACATTAATTTCACCATTAAGATATTAAAACCCCAAAACATATGGCAGCTCTATTTGGATAAGTGAATGTATTCAGAATGAAACATTCCTAGTTAAATGATGAAATGAAGTTAGGTGAACACTGCTAGCATGGTAACTAAAAGCAGAATCACCACCTGACTGGTGTCTGGAACTAGAAATACTCTCCTGACAAGGATGGAAGATTTTAAGACTGAAAAAAACCACCCACCTCAAGTGTCTTCCATAGCAGGGTGAGAAGGAGATCACCCCAAAGATGGGCACTAATACCAGTATTTAATGAAAAGCAATTTGCAAGTACCACAACAGCTTTATTTCCACCTAACAAGCAACTCCTGTGAGCATATTAGTACTGCCCACACAAGATTAATCAGTAGTTCAAGATCTACACAATAAAGGGTTGTTTGGTTTGGGGCTTTTGTCCTTTTAAAATAAGACTTCACTGTTCTTACAGAGACATGGAGAACACTTCAGGCAGTAACTGTTTTCCCTCTAGAGAAATTAAAAGAAAGAAGTTAAGAAATACTTGAGCAAATCAGACAAAGGCAGTACTTTTGCTCATTTAAAAAAACCCTCTTATTTTAGGAAAATTAAACTCTGGAAAAAATGTTCCTTTAGGAAACATTTCCTGCTGCAATATGAATAGGAGGTACAATATGTACTACATTTAGAGTTATGCATTCCATACATGAGGAGCAAAGTTGTCTGTCTTCATCACAACTTTTCAGGTTTTTCTTCTGATTTCTCATTTATCAGGTCTTTAAATCCCAATTTTTCCAGTGGTTCATTAGCCATAAGCTGCCTAAGTTAAAAAGAAGAACACAAAAAGCTTTTTAGAGAACACAGTCTATAAACAAAAGAACAGCAGCATTCTTTACTTCATTTAGTATCGTTTACCCTAAAGAAACCCAAGACATCTATAGAGAGTTATTGCTGCTTAGCAAGATCTCAGAAATTTCAGTTTTCGGAAAGCAACATTCTGGGATCATTTTTTTCTCTCCTTAACAGTGGTTTTCCAATTAAATGTGTTGTTTCCTGATTTTGGATACTGAGTAAGAGTTTCCTCAGAAACTGACCTGACTCTTGGTTCATCTTTAACTAACGGACTGCATAAGACCTTTCTAAAATTCTACCTGTGCCATTTATGACAGTGAATTACCACTTTTAATTACCACTATCCTTTGCTGCAGTGATTTTCAAACAAGTTTTTGATTTGCAGCCCTCCTTGACACCAGCCCATGAAAGTCTATTTTCCTTAAATACAGAGAAATTCGTTTACTTCCCAGAGTTCCCTGTGTCACCCTTGTTCAGGAAGCATTGCAAAGCAATGCAAGAATGGAAACATCCCTGGAAAACCAAACACCAACACTTTTTTCACTTTACCTGAGGAACAAGTTAAATTTTTAACTTGCCTGCTTGACACATATTTCTAAGGGGCTAACAGGCCAAAGTACTTCTGCTTGAACTATACCTGAATTATACTAGGATGTATTATACAGGAAAATATATTATACAGTTGAATATGTATTATATACTTGAATATGTATTATATACTTGAATATGTATTATATACTTGAATATATGTATATTATATGGGAATATATATTACATAATTGAATTATACGAGGATGTATTTTGAACTCAGCATTAAGATTCGGTTGCATTAGTATACACAAAGAAATACCACTGGCTCTGATAATTCATGGTTAAGTTATACAAATACCTGTTGGGGGTCCTAAAGACATATTCAGAGCTGATTAGGAAGGCCAGGCAGGAGGTGAACAAAGCACGTGCAAGTTAAAAGTTTAACTTGTAATCAGTTGGGAAAAAAAATAAGCTTCACACCGAGAAATGCGGTTGTGCAGGATGGAAGCTGCCCGAGCGCCGCTGTTATCCCACCGCACGGGCTGGATAACAAGGAAACATGAGCCAAGTGATGCTGATGCCACACGGGGCACCTTCAAGGACACCTTCCTGTGTGACTGCGGGCTGCCTTCCCCTCCCGTGCCCGCAAAGGGACCCCCGCCCCGGGGACCGCCGGGCTGGCCGCCAGGTCCCCAGCGTGTCCCGGGGACGGCCGGGATGGGGCAGGGCCGGTGTCGGGGCACACTCGCCTGTCCATGCGGCACTCCAGGTAGGCCATGGCGCGCTGCCGGCAGGCCGCGCTCTCGTAGCCGCTGTGCCGGAGACACTCCATGAACTGCTCCTTGAAGGCGCTGCACTCCCCTGTAACACACAGCGAGGGGCCGTGATACCCACCGGGGCCGTGATACCCACCGGGGCCGCAGCACGGGCGGGGGGAGGCAGGCCCGGCGCGGGGCCGCCCGGCCGCGGTACCGCACCGAAGTGATCTAGCGGGAAGGCGCCCTTGTCCGGCGGCCGCGGCGTGAAGCTCTTGGCGCTGAAGTTCATGGCGGTGGACATGTCGCCGGTGTTGGGTGGGGGGTGGGCACGGACGGTCCTGCGGTCCCTCGGTCCCTGCCCCGGTCCGTCGGTCCGTCCCGCCGCCGGGGGGAGCCGCGCGCCGAGCGCATCGAGCGGCCACGTGACCGGGGCGGAACCGCCCGCCATGGTCGCGGCGTCCCCGTGGCCATGGCAACCGCAGCGATGGGCGGGTCGCCATGGATACGACGCCTCCGCCGTCCGCCATGTTGGGCCGGGCCCCAGCGGGAGGGTCGGGCCGGGGGGGTTCGTGTCCCTGCATTCAGGGCTTCATCAGCTTCTGCGAAATAAACCGATTCCTCCTCATAAAAACCCGTGGTTCTGTCTTAATTCCGCTCTGAACGCTCCGAATGATTCTTGGGGTTGTCCTGGGCAGGGCCAGGAGTTGGCCAGTTTGATGATCATTGTGGGTCCCTTCCAACGCAGGATATCCCGTGATTCTATGGTTCTGTGAATGGGTGGGTGAGAGCGATGGCCACCGGCCTCCTGCCTGCGGAGGGGCCTGGAAAAAACTGTCTGTCTCTGGCACTTGTTCAGCTGGAAATGGAGGGGGAAAGAGCCAAACTTGGATCTTGTGACAGCAAACGGCTTCATACAGGATCCAGCCCTAGCGAGTCTCTCCCGTTTCTATCCAGGGACCAGGCTGAGGCCGGGCTCCTCCTTCCCCTCTGTCATGAAGAACAAGTTCCTCACCTGCCACTTCTGAGAGTGCTGAGTCTTGACTTAAAAGCACATTTTTCAGGACCCAGCCCTGGCTGGTGTGATCCCAGAGCCCTGGGGATAACACCTGCAGGGAGGCAGTATGAACTTCCCTCAGCAACCCAGCAGGATTTTGGGAGGAGCCATCTCCATCCTGCTGCAGTGACATGAACTCTTCCATCAGCTGTCCGTAGTGGTAATAACATGGTTGCTTATCCCTCATTAATCCCCATGGTTTAATGCCGTGCACAAACCTGATGGACAGCACTGAGTTATTTTATGCCTCCTACAAAGGATGGGTGAGCAGGAGGGTTCCCATCACATGGCATGAATGCTGATGAGGCTGGTAAAACCAAGCAGTTTTTGGCAGATGTTTGGGAAACGGTGAACTTCCAGGTCCTCAGGATGGATAATCAAGAAAAACACCCCTATTGCCTGCAGGTTTACAGCACATGCTCTGCAGATCCACAATCTCCTCCTGAAAGGAGGATGAGAAATGGCTTTAATTTAACCTACCCAAGTGTTAACAGTGGATTACAGTAGTATTTTTTCTTCTTTGCTAATAGCTGCAATTGGTTTCAGACAGTCTTTCATCTGTTTTAAGTTGATTTTTCTTTTAATTAAATGACTGAGCTAAGTAGAAAGAATTCGAGGCTGGGGAAAAAAAAGAGAAATAGCTTCAATTTTTAAGGACAGTCATTATGGAAATACTACCTGCAGCTCTATTTAAAGTGTGTTTTGTTTATGCCTTGATTGCTTTCTTATTACAGTATTGAAATTCTAAATGGAAAATTACACCGTGTTCTATTACATAAGTAACTGGTTTAAACAGCCTGAAATTTAAGGTTTTATTATTAGGTGTTCAGTGCTATGAACAATGGAGGGTTTTTATTATACAGCAAATGGCACTTTTCCACTTGACTTCATTACAACACTTGGTGGTAAAAGCGAGATACTCTTCTTTCATAAATACATGTAGCAAACCGTCTCCCAGATCTCAGAGGACTGAGCAGCAGAGAAGCAGCTTTGGTTCATCTGGACAAGTTTAGCTGAAGTGTCAAGGCACTTGATTTTAGCAAACTGCCCAAATTATGTTCCTTACTTTCTGGACTTGCTGGTTCCCCATGTGATGAAGGAAGAAGTCAAAGGAAAAAGATACACAGGAATCCCACAGCAGAATTATTCCCAGACAGGCAGTGACAATCCATTCCAGTTCTGTTTAATATCTTAATATCAACAATCTGGATGAGAGGATTGGGTGCACCCTCAGTAAACTTGTAGATGACACCCAGTTGGGTGGGAGTGTACATATTGAGAAAAATTTCTTCCTCAGAAGGGTTGTCAAGCCTTGGAACAGGCTGCCCAGGGCAGTGGTTGGAGCCAGCATCCCTGGAGGGATTTAAAAGATGTAGATGTGGTGATGAGAGACATGGTTTGGTGGCGGCCTTGGCAGTGCTGGGGGAACAGTTGGTCTCAATGATCTTAAAGGTCTTCTCCAACCTAAACAATTCCATGATTCTAGGCAAAGGCTATATCAGGTTGATATATTTTATTATATCCAAATATTTTTATAACCTATTTATTAACTGTCTGTCTTTGGAGCCTTAAATTTTGTAGTTACCTGCCTTCAGGTCAGGTATAGTAGCAGGTGTTTGGTTATGGTTACTTAATGTTTTTATTGCAAATGCCAGTTGTATCTTCTAGAGTTTCCTTTAAAGGTACATGCTGTCATACAACCTAGTACACGTGCTTTTGCAGTTAAGGATGTATTTTTCCCAAGGAGATCAAATGAAACCCCTGTTAAATAATCAGTGTGAAGAAAAAAAATCTCATTTGCAGATTAAGCCAACCAATACCAAGGAAATTCAATAAAAACAAAGCAGTGCCATAAACAGAGAATTAAATGATTTTTCCATATTATCTTTCAAAGAAGTGAGAGACTTTGACAGCATCAGGGAAATCTGAAATAGCTGCTTCAATAAAAAAGTGCCCATTTTACAAGAGAAATCAGATAATTTGTAAAGCATGTAGTGTTTCACGGAATCTCTAGTCTGGAGTCCTGAGCCCTTTCCAAAAATTAGAAGGCTCAAATTAGAAGGCTTCACAAAGTAGGGAATATCTTGGATCTTCCTCTTTCAAGGTACAGACGTTGATAGATTTAAAAAAAAAAAAAAATCCTTTGCTTGAATCAGAGCTGTTAGTCATTAATTAGGGACTAAAGATTCATTAAATATGGACTAAAGTAACATTTAAAAACTGTTTGGTCTTTTACAATGTTGTCAGTTAGCGCTGAAAACTTATTCCACTATTGATGTTTATTTGTCAGTTGTACAAATGTCTCTTCAGAAGAAGTTATTACACACTTACCACTACTTTTCAGAAGCACCAAACTGAATAATACGTCAGAGAAGAACCTTTATTCTTTTTTATGGGCAGGGTAAAGTTGGTGACTTCCATTATTTTCTCTCTTGCACCACGCTGCATCTTTTAAAAGCCTGAAGACTCGAATTATCAGGTAGTTAATTTGAAAATAATTTATTGACAAGCCATGAAAGGCTTTGAGTAAAGTACTCGGGGATTTCGTAGCTTCACTTGGGATAGCTGTAAGAAATTAATGAGGTGAACAAGACCAAGCACATTCAGATGCTGGAATTTGTGCCCTTGAGACTGCTGTTCCCAGCCCAGGCACAGAACACACCTCAGAGAAACATCCTTCCAGGATCACTCATTCCTACACCTCACCCTTGCAAGGCGAGCATGCCGCCAGCTCTTACATAAGGTCTCTTGCTACATCACTGCCACAGGCTGTTGTAAACCATTTTTCTCCCTTTTAATTCAGGTTCCTAGACAAGCAAAAATGCAGAATATTGCCAGAATAGTCTGGGGAATGGGGATTTTTGTTGTGGATGATTAATGAAGTATTATTGTTTAGCACTTACAGGGAAATTGTAGTTTCATGCCGTTGAGGTCAGGGCCTTAATATGTTATGTGCTCTGCAAAGATGTACAGAGTGATAGCTCATTTTCTGTTATTACTGAGCCAAAGCCTCATCAGGTTAGAGAGGAATGTTGTAGAAATAGTAATGCTGCACTGAGATGCAAAGCAAACCTTTATCTTACGCTGCTTTATCTTACGCTATCTAAATCCACATCTCTACCTGCATCCAGACAGGGGCCCAAGAGTAAGATGCTGGCTCTGTAGATACCTACCTCCTAATCACCCTTCATTATATGTCCCAAATTTCTCTTGGATTAATACAATTGCTGCAATACTCCCCGTTAAGATAGACTGAGGCTAGAGACCCTGAACAAAAAATCCTTGGAGTTATGACAAGGCATTTGATTTGATTTCTGACTTCCCAGGCCAGGCTGCTGTGACTTGGTGTAAATGTGAGATCTGGAAGAACACGGTTCTGGCTATGGTCACAAGGGACTTTACTGCAAACGTTTTTGTAGATATGCATATTGAAAAGTAACATTACCAGCACCAAACCCGAGGATCTCCCATTTCTCATTGAATGAGACTAAGGAAGGAATGGCCTCCATTCAGTACAAGAAGAAGGCTTTTAAAAGCACCGAAGTTCCCAAGAATGGTAAATGCTTAACAGGAGTGGAAAATACTGTCACCTTAGGCTCTGCACGGGGACAATGCACTAATCCCACGCACAGATTTTTTATTTTCTTCTCCCAGTGACCAGACCCATCACATAAATTCTTTCAGCTCAGAATATGTAAAAAAACCCCCATAAGTCTTTAAAAAACAATTTTGCAGTGAAATAACAATTTTTAAAAATATTTTTCCAGGAGTCTTTCTTCTCAAAGTAGATTTGCAGCCCACACTGATTTGACAGATAAGTGAAAAGAAACTAACGAGTTATTTGTATGAAAATGAGCATACTGAACACTTGAGATACTGATCACCACCCTGTAGTGATCCTGCAGAAATACGGATTGGCAGGGTGGGAAGAAGTGGGTGTAATCCAATAAAACAATGCCATAATGATGAAAAATTGAAAGAGGTCAAAGTCGGGAAGCTTTTGATTTCTTTTTGCAGTGGCATTTGTCAGGGCAAGCAAAATCCATTAGCAAGGAGCAGCCCGAGTTTTAACACATCTGGGTCTTTAAAAATGTTAATGTTTAATAGGGTGTGCTCAGGCTTTATATATTCCTGATAACAATGCACGGGCTGATAGGCATCTCCAGAGGCTGTAAATCAGTGGCAGAGCCTCGCAAGGCACACAAGCACTTGGTGTTCACTCTCATGGTTTATTATGTTATCAGCAGTCATTGACTGAATTATGGCCTTATAACAACTCTTTCCCTGCATTATCCTACAGTTACTGTAGCATTGTTAACCTGTGTCCCATTAGAAGATGATATGACCTTCTCCAGATGAGCACACAGAAATTACTGTGGCTGTTTAATGTACAGGCTCATTTTCTAGGAGGAACTGAGCTGTGCCCACAAGGTCTACTTACCTTAAGATGGTATCAGTTCTGGCTTGGGCTGGTAGAAAGACAAAGACACGTGAGCAGGGAGCAACGTTTTCTCCCCAGTCCTGTGTGGGATGCCTCACCTGCAAGCCAGCAATGCAGTTTGGAATTGCATACTGGAAACCAAGGTACATGAGGAAGAAGTGGAGGTGAAGGCATCAGATTGGCTGTATTTTAAGACTGCAATCATTCCCTCCCGCTGGAGAGCTCCTCCATTATTTCCCACAGTGCATACACCAGCCCAGCAGGTTGCAAGTCCATGGGCTCACTATCTGAGAAAGGGTTTCACCCTATATTGTCACCAGGTACAACCTGAAGCTTGAAACAGATTGGAAGCCCTTGGGAAGGTGCTTTTGCTTGCTATGGCAGCAGCCAGCTCCATTCCAACAGACCTGTATGTAAACAGAAACAACAGATTTCCTCCACTGGTACCCAACTGGCCCCATGTAGGGTTTTTTCCTCCCTCTTACTGTGTATTACAGAGTGTCAGGAGTCCCAGTGGTCACACCATTTTCTCAGAGAAGAATCTGATATTCTTGGAAATGTCTGGGAGAAGAGAGTGCAGAAAAAGACCTCATAGTTTTGCAGCAAATCTTGAGACTGACACAACCATCCATTGCCCTCTTTTCTTTGCCCACCCTGCACAGGAAAGTTCCCCCTTGTGAAAAACTCCACTCCTGATAACAAGCCTTGGAGAACAGGCAGATGTGCAGGCACCTTTTTCATGTCAATTTAGTTAGAGTTTATTGATTCCCCTTGCCTTCAGCTAATGTACTTTTATTATTATTAATAAATAATCATCATTTTTCCATCAGTGGAGCCTGCACCCAGGAGCCTTGGAGAATTCTATCAAAAGTATTATTAAAGCTAAAGATTTCTAAAGGGGTGAACAGCAGCCCAGCCCAGTAATCTGACAGAATCTGCAACTGGGGAACAAAATATCCCCACTTGAGAATATGCGATAGAGCATCAAATTGACTCTTTCCCCCAGAGTTACCATTTCAACAGTGGCCTATTTTTCATGATCACTTCAGCTTTGTTGTCATCCCTCCAGGATGCAGAGGGTGTAGGTGGCTCTTGGGGAGCTGTCTCCCGGGCACGCAGGCTCTTGCAGGCCCCTGCCCTGCCATGGTACATGACTCATGGCACCTGGAGGGCCAAAAAACTGCTGCTCCTGCCTGGCACCCCCTCTACAACAGCTGCCCAGGCAGCCTCCATCCTCTGCCTGGCCAGCTGCACTCTGATCCTGGCTCCTCCCAGATTACAAAGGTTTGGGATCTCTTTTCCAATCTAGGCAGAAGGATTGCCTGGAGGGGACGGTTTCTCCTAGAGGATTACAAGCATCTGCCCATAAACAGAAAGAGTCATCACCAAACACAGAGCCAGACATGGACACCCAGTCCTCTGGACAGTAAACTGCAAAATAATGACTGAAGTGGTTTCAGGAGCGGTTTGGGATTGCTGGGAGAGAATTTTTGGGACAAAGATCAATAACAGTGCTAGCAATAACAGTGCTAGCAACTGTGTTGCTCAAGGAGGTGGTTTCACTGGGGTGGCAGGAAAGCAAAGAGAATCAAAGCTGTCACCTGTAAATAGATCTACTCCCATTGGCAATCCTGAATTAGCACATCTTTATGCAACCACCGTTCCAACTCCTCCATGGTCAGTCTTGTCTTTCCTGAGGGCTTACTTGCCAGCTGCACCCTGGGCCATGTGTTATTGTGGGCTTTCCTGTGTCCTGCTTCCTCCACTGCATCACCAGTGGTCCAGCTGAGTCCTGTGACCTGGCACCATGGCAGCAATCCAGCTTGGGTCCTGTTCTTGAGTTCTGCCCCTGAAATAATGCAGAGAACAACATGCCCATAACACAGATTTTCACTGGAAAACAAACACCTTGTCCCAGTGTTGTAGATGAAATACGAACTCCTGATTACGATAATCCATGGTTCAGAATAAAACAGGGTGGTTTATTTGTCAGCATAATGAAGTACATCTGGTCTAAATGGATGTTAACAAGACCACAGAGTCCTTTTCTCTGCACAAAGCCGCTTCCCCAGAAGGTGTGTTCAGGAAATGACAGAAGGGCTATAAAGGGACCCCAAGACGCTCATGCCCACACTTGGACTTGGACATGGCCATGCAGAGTTTCCTGCAGTACGTGGGCTCCAGCTCGCTGCTCTGTTTGGCAGCAGGGCTGTTTGCTCTTCTTTACTTTCTCACCAGCTCGAAGAAGTCGGTTTGCAGTTTGCCTCCTGGGCCACGGCCTCTTCCTCTGATCGGAAACTTGAACGTGGTGGACCTGAAAAAGCCGTTCCAGTCGCTGACAGAGGTAGGGTCTGGATGAGCAGAGAGGGGGAAAATGTGCAATTCCCAAAGTGAGAAATGCAACTAGAGAAATGGAGATGCAATTGTGTTTGCTTTGCACAGAGGGCAGAAATGAGATATTTGGCATATAGGCCGACTGGCAGAATGACTTTACCTTCGGAGGTGTACACACACAAACATGTATTTATATGTATAAATATAATACAGACACTCCTTTCTTTTTATGCACTTCAGTGTAGATCCCCATCCCTTGCAATCAGCTCCATATTGTTGGTGTTTCAAGCCCTTCAGAGGCTGCAGGCAGAAGACTCAATTTGGGCCAGTCTGCTGACAGATCAGTACTATTTGCCATCAAGAGATGTCTCACTGCAGCCAGACCTCTAGGAAGGATGGATTGATGGAAGGAAGGAAGGAAGGAAGGAAGGAAGGGTATCATCCCCACAGCAGAGGGAAGGGGGTCCTATGCACACATTTCCAAAGCTAATTATATCCCTGCAATGCAAAGCACAACTCTGCCTCCCTAGCCATTCCCCTGCACACACACACTGGCCAGGGTTATTAAGGACTTGATACGTGGCTTTTATATGTCTAGCTAAAAAAATTGGTTTTTCTTACACAGTACCATGGATACTTTTATTTTTAAAAGAAAGAAAAAAAACCCCTTAAATATTTTAAAGCCAGGGGCAGTGTTTGTTTCCGAAAGTGTCTGCTGTGTTCCCATAGGGAGGTGGGGACAAGTCAGTGTGAATTCAGATATCATCTGGTTGCTGTAGAGACAGCTGAGGTGCTGTGAGTGACCTGTCATACGCCCTGTGTGTGCTTACTGGACACTGTAATGGAGGAAAGACAGTCCACAGTGCACTCCTTCAGCCACTTGAACATCTGCAGTGAGAGGGCAGTGCAGACACTGAAATCCTCCAGTTCATTGTAGAAAAAAGGACATTCTGGGCTGCAAAAGAATGGAATTCCTGTAGCAGGCATGCAGTGCTCATCTGCCCTGATTTACAGTGCAGAGACCAGTTGTCATGGGCTTCTGGTCCTGAGCTCCCTTCTGATCCTAGGCATGTTTGAGGATGTCAGTATGAAAGAGCAACTATTTTTGGCAGTACTGGGGGATTTTATAATACAAATGTCATGTGATGGCACCAGACTCGTTTCCTGTAATCTACTAAGTAGCTTTATTTAGGCTTTCAGGCCTTCCACATTCAATACTTGTGTTTCTGAGTAAAAACAGAGTGGATGCCAAGAAGCACTAATGCAAAGAAATGACCAAAGGAAGGCTCGGAGGCAGCTGTGATTCCCTGCCCCTGGCTCTGCTCACTCTGTGAGCTGCCAGGGATGAAAGAACCAGTGCTAATGTTATCTCCCAAGCCGTCAAACCACCATTTGATGAAAACAAATTCAATTTGTCTGGTGTAATAACAGGAGCTGCTTCTAATCTGAAATTCAATTTGTGGAATGTATCTAATGCATAGCAAATGGTAACCCAGGCACATCAGAAACAAGAAGACATTTGGAGCTGGTGGCTTGAAGTGTGTTTAAACGAAGTCTAAAATACCAAGTGAATGATTAGCTTGTCAAAGCTACCTTTCTGTGTAGCAGATGATCCATATTTAATTTGCTGTAAAAGCCTAGTGCTCCTGTGACATTATCTACAGGAACAGGCTTCCTAGTTTCTGGTGGCCAGCAAATAATTTTGCAATGACTGCAACGCTATGCACCTTGCCATAATTGGAGACAAGTGCTGTCCTGAAAGAAAGAGTTATTGTCTAGCTTTGTTTTTGCAGTGTTTGTGGCTTCAGCCTCAAAGGTGTGTGCACGCCCACTTGCCTCAGGTCAACAGCATTACAATAAACAGGCCTGCCTGCCACAGCATTCTCCAAACAGCCTCCCAGTGTGGTATCACTGCACTGACCTGTTACTACAGAACACCACAGGAATGCAATGGCATTTTATTGACTCCTCTGATAGGAGCAGTGATAGCAGACACCTTGTTGTGCAAACAGGGTGCAAGCTGAGATGCTGGAAATTGATAGCTGTTGCTCATTACTTGAATTACAGCAGCACCTGGAGACTTCAGGCAGGGCTAGGAGGCTCCTTTTGGTCTAAAATCCACCTAGGGTGGCTGGTACTACTGTTTGAGTCCAGATCTGGTTTTGAATGAACATATTTATTCACCTTGTCAGCTATCCAAGACATATGGCAACGTCTTCACCGTGCATTTTGGACCCAGGAAAGCTGTGGTACTGGCTGGATATGAAACCATCAAGGACGCCCTTTTAAATCATGCTGAAGAATTTGGAGAGAGGGCAGAAATACCCATATTTAGGAAAATGACACAAGGAAATGGTAATTGACCTTTTGATTGGGTAGGTTTTGTAGTTTTTTCAGTACCTTCTTACAGCAGAGGGTATCGCCATCTTACAGATCCATTTTTGTGATCTGAAAGAGGTACCAGTGTGTAAGAAAGCCTTAAAATGTTTATGAACAACAGGTGACATAGGATGTTACATCTTTATTTTAGGCATAGCATTCAGCCACGGAGAGCTATGGAAAACTATGAGAAGATTTACCTTGTCCACACTGCGAGATTTTGGAATGGGAAAGAGAACCCTGGAGATCCGAATCCTGGAGGAAGTAAATTCCCTTATCAAATATTTTGAATCCTATCATGGTGAGTGTCAAGTCTTTCTTCCAGAGACAGAAAACAGGTCTAGCAGAACAATAAAAATTAATGAAAGTTTAACTCTGAGCAAATGGTATCTCGTGGTTAAAGTTCAGCATATGCTGCAGTAGGTTATTGAACCGAGGCCTTAAAACACTGAAACTAAGTTCCTTGCTATGCATTCTGGGTGGGGAATGAGTTTTCTTTGGGAGCTCAGGACTATATTTCTATAGGAAATCAGACCAAAAAAAGCACAATGTCCTTTCTTTCAATTGCTTGAAACACAGGGAAACCATTTGATACGAAAACGATACTCAACAGTGCTGTATCCAATGTCATCTGCTCGATATTGTTTGGAGAGAGGTTTGAATATGATGATCCTGTGTTTCTAACATTGCTGGAGCTGATAAATCAAAATGCTAAGCTGTTGGGCTCCCCTATGGTGCTGGTAAGAGCTCTATTTTATGTTTTACCTTTCAGATTTTTTGGGGATATCAAGTTGTCCATATTTGTTCTCCTGGCCTCCCACAACTTGCTTTTTGAAAACAAGAACATTATCAGCCAGCCAGCCTGTACAGAACACATCTGTGGTTCTGTATCTGAAACACATAGATTCCCAGGCCCCTGTACTTAGTCAGTGAAGCTTATTAGTAGAAGAAAAAAACATCAAAGTCTTCACAAAAGGAACAACTTTACCCTCTTTGAAGAGCAGAAGCACAGTCTCAAACCTGCCTCCTTGTATTCCACATTCAGTAACTCTCTTAGTTCTGCTTCCCCTACTACCAAGTTTGACAAACTTCTTTTTCTTTTATTTTGGCCACTGAAGTTCAACCTTAGCAAGCTAACAGCCTGATATAAACCTGTTCCTTCCTGACACAAAGCTTCTGCTTTGACCACCAGTGGAGTGAGCCACACTGAGGTCTGTGTCTGTCTGTAACCCCAGACTAGCAAAGCCCAAAAAGCACCACTCAAGCACAGGTCAGAGCAATGTTGTCTGTCTGTGAAGGTGGCCAGTTCAAGTCCCTTCTGCTGCCATAGGGGTGTGGCACACCTGGGGACCTTCCCTGGAATAAGTACAATGCTCTCATTCCAATCTTTCACATCTGAAACCCTCTGTCCCACCATCTACACAGCTGGAAGCCCTGAAAGAAGATTTAAACTGGTGAATCTCCCAAAAGTCATGGCAAGGACTCATGCAGAGGCATAACAGAACAGAACACTGCTTCTGCAGGAATCCATTGCTGCTTAGACAGTACATGTGAATGTGGGGGAATTACAGCCTGAAATGTCAGGGCATGGGACAAAGGGCAAGCAGTGTGATTTGAGATACTAGTATGTGTTCAAAAAGTCAATTAACAGTAAGAATTCTCTTGCTCCACAGTTATATAATTTCTACCCATACCTTGGATTTCTCTCTGGAGCTTCCAAGACTGTGCTACAAAATATCAGTGAATTGAACGCTTTCCTCCAGAAGCTCTTCCAGCAACACAAAGAGGAGCTTAATGAAAATGACTTAACAGGCTTTGTTGATGCCTTTCTGGTAAAGCAACAACAGGTACTTTAAAGCTGAGTCTGAGAGTCTTTCTCTTCTCTTAGCTATGACTTATTCCTAGGACTGGCCATCTGTCAGGGACTGGGAGCACGTGGAGACAGAAGGACTGCAGTGAGCAGGATATATCAAACCTTATACTCACAGTGAGCTGTGCTGGACTTACTCCATGGCTCCACTGAAACTGCTGGTTAAAAGGTTGTCATGATGTCCCATGTGTGTGACATAAGTTACCACTCAGCACAAAGAGGAGATCATCCCAAACCTTCCTGCAAGAATGGTACAGTTATAAAGTGCATTGCAAGAAATAAATTCCAACTAATATCTAGAGCTGGGTATTGCCCATATGCTTGGGACCAGACAAATTCCACACAGCACAGGCTGTATTGCTAAAATGCTAAATGTTTCGTTTTCCAGCACATTTAGAGTCACAGAGAGCTAAAATGCAGATAAAAATGGTGGCAACACAGTCACATATAGGTGTCACTTGCTGTAGAACTTATGGCCATTACCCAAATGTTTTGAAGGAGTCAAAGAAACCCCACACTATGTTCGACAATGGAAACCTGATGTTTTCAACCTTGGACCTCTTTGCTGCTGGGACTGAAACTACATCTACAACTGTACGCTGGGGGCTCCTTCTGATGATGAAATACCCAGAAATTCAGAGTAAGGCTGACAAGTCTCTTGTACAATTCCTTGTTGTATGCTTAAGGCTTTGGTTGTGGAAGGGAGTGGAACTCATTCAGTGCTGCCTAGAGTAATGATTCTGAGTGCTCTGAGAGTGATAACAACCGTTGACTTTGTAAAGGAATTTTTTTCAACTGGATTGCAATAAACCAGCCCAGCCAAGTGGGAGAGGCTGAGGGGCAGTCTACAGTTACAGCAAAGCTCCCCTGTGATTATTCGCCTGCAGGCTATGGGCTTACGTCACTAAAGGTCTCCTCAGGAGCTGATTCTGATCTGGTTTCTGTGGAAGGTTATGGGGTAACAAAGGTGTGTAGTCAGAATCAGGCATGGGATGGACTGTAGTGACTCTGTCCAAGTTCCCTTGGCTCAACTACAAACCTGAAAGAGCCATACCATGCCCCGGCTTACCCACTTCTGCTCTTCCCAAATAATCACAGTTTTCCCTTTTCTTCATCTTTGCCAAACTGGAAGTCATTTCAGTTGCAAGGTAAGATTGTTATCAGCTTCTTAATCCTTTCCTCCCTCCAAGGAAAGATTCAGGAAGAAATGAACCGTGTCATTGAACCAGGAGAGCTGCCTAAGTTGGAGGACCGGAAAAAAATGCCTTATACAGAAGCAGTGATACATGAAATACAAAGGTTTGCCAATATTGTCCCTATGGGTGTATCACGATCAACTCCCAGAGATGTGAATTTCCGAGGCTATGTGATTCCTAAGGTGAGCTTTGAGGACAGCAGCTTATGCTGTACAGATTCCTTACACTTTTCTTTAAAGCAGACAAAGAAAAATACAAATAATTAAAGACACCATGATACATGTTTTCATGTGACCCTTTGTCTTGGATCCGGGATAACTGTTGCAGCATACAATGGACTGTGGTCTGTTACAGCTGTTTGAATCTTGAATAACCGTAATTAAATCGCACTGGTTTGAATCTTTTTTGTCAAATGTGGAGCGTCTACTTCAGCATCTTTCTTGAAAGATCTGACTCTGTAAGAAAGGAATGTTTTGTGGTCCAAAAAATAAAACAGCAGCTACTGATATCAGGCAGAACCACAGTGGGGCAGGGAAGCATCCCCAGTTCTGTTTGTCATGGCTCAATCTTACTTGCCTCTTCACATTAGAAACAAGAAAGCAGTCTTGCTCAACTAGGAGAGTGATCTCCTCTTCCATGTGTTTCTTTGATCCCTTTCAGGGTACTGAGATTATTCCACTGCTGACCTCTGCTCTGAATGATGAGTTACACTGGAAAACCCCGGATCAGTTCAACCCTTCCCATTTCCTGGATGCCAACGGGAACTTCATTAGGAGAGAAGCATTTATTCCATTTTCCGTAGGTGAGAGGGGGTTGTGTGTGTGTATCACCTGGGGCTAGGCTAACAGCAGTTCCCCCAGACTTAGGAAAGTATGAAAGCCAGGGATACAGAACAGAAGATGAGGGATTTCTAGTCATTTTTTTCTGTCCACCATTGCTGTCGGTAACCACCTGTTCTTTAGGAGATCTGGGAGACACTGATTTACTCACAGTCACTGAATAATTTCATATACCTACAGCCCTCTGTGTAGCTTAAGTCAGTAGCACCTTCAATACACAAAGAGAAGGAAGGGAAAATTTCCTACCTCAGCAGTCTGCTCTTACAGACTGTATCTCCAGTTTAGGTCTCAGAGATCAACACTAACAGTTACAGTGCTGATCATTAACTTCTCTCCTGGTTGTTTTCAGGACGAAGGGCTTGCCTTGGTGAAGGACTGGCCAAAATGGAGCTGTTCCTCTTTTTTGGGGGCTTGCTCCGCAAATTTGTTTTTCATCCCCCTCCAGGAGTGGATAAGTCAGACCTGGATCTCACTGCTGATGTCGGCTTTACCTTGAACCCCATGCCTCACCTGGTTTGTGCTGTGCCCTGTGAATGATCAAACAACATGGCAGTAGAGTAGCGAACATTTCGAGCTTGAAAGCAAGTTTAGTTACAGGGGGGAAAAGCCATCTGTACCTGAGCTTTAGGGCAAGGAAGACACCAGGCACTGCTATTTTTCTCATTCATGCTATTCTCTCCAACAGTTCTTGTGGTGTCTCTCTTCAGACAGCCCTGAATACTGCTCTCAGAAGCAGTGTGATTCATTCCTGGAACAGCACACCAGAGATGCTGTTTTCAGGACTGTTTGAAAGAATGAAATGCCTTCAAGCCTCCTCTATAGATGTAACCCATCAGAGGCTCTCCCCTGACAGCCTCTGTCAGGGGAATTTCTCAGCCCAAAGTCCAAGCTCTACAGCGGAGCTAATTACTGATGGCCCAGCTGGAGACAACAGACACTTAATGGATCTGGAAATCTCCTCAGGACGGTTGTTCAGCTGAGCCTCAGACTGAGCTTCCATTGTGCCATACAACCTGCCTTATCTTTATTACAGAGTCCCAGACATGAGGGTGTAACGTGGGCTGATGCCAAGACCCAGGCACAGGACAGTTATCGAAAACATCTAAGTGGTTTGGGAAGTGGGTTCATTCCAACTCACACCAGGCACTTCATGCTGAACAGCCTATTTATGATGGGGCCAATTTAGCAGCTTTCTGCTGCTGCTAAGAAAGGAATTTCTACCACTCCCTCACCTCTCCTGGCTTCATCCTGCCTCTGGCACTTGTCCAATCCTTTACTGGGCCATCATAGATCCCTAAACTGTCAGAAAATGACCAGCCATGGCAAGTGAAGAGTTTCTGAATCAGTGTGGCTAAAGTGACAAGTCCATGGCAGTGGGAGGGCGATGCAGCCTGGGGCTGGGCAGCAGGACTGCCACACTCCATCAGAGAGCTGGGAGAGGCTCAGCCCTCTTCTCCACTTGTCCTTGTGAAAACAGATGTAGAACTAATAATAGAGTCTGGAAGGAGAAGCAGGTTAGACTTTGTAACCAACTTGGTTACTTGTACTATTAACTTGTTGTATGGGGATCTCTGTGGAAAGCTGGGGACACCCCAGAGACTGTGGCTGTCCTAGAGCAGCTGTTTGATTACTACAATTGATGATTTATTTCATGTAGCATCCCTTAGGAGTAGGAAGAAGTTGCTGTACCTACAAGGCTACACTCATTGAGGGAAGCATGATACTACATGAGTGAAATCCGAATGGGGGTGCAGGTACAAGAGAGGAGGCTGCTTTGTGTGCTGTGAAACAGGCAGGAAACCACACGTGGGTTAGGGAGAAGTGAGTCACTAGAGTTGCTTTTGTGTTGGTTTGGAAGTGAGAAAGGAAGGTTAGGATGAAACGAAAAAAGGGAGAAATAAAGTTATAGAGACTGAGGGGGCAGTTACAACAAATCTACAACATAAAATTAAAGTTGCTGTCACCTAAAGATGATCTGTGCTGCAAATGGAAGGAAAGAAAGGAGAAAGAATATGAAGGGATGACAAAGTAGGGTGGCCTCTGGCCAAGACACTGACTCTTCTCACTAGCTTTAGTTCACACAACTAAAGGCAGCACTCTAACATTTATACTGTACCTTGTACTTGTACTGGTATTGCACTTGTACACGTGCTGTACCACAGGGCCAGCTCCTGGTTACAGCTCAAGGAGTCTGCTGGGCAAGCTGTGCAACAAGGAAACCTTCGCCGCTGCGCTTGCGTACGTTTGTTTTGCTGTTGCTCTATTTGCAGTCTGACTACTGCAAGCCTGACCTTATCACCCACTTAATCATTAAATATTTTGTTCTGTTTATCTATCTGGTGTTACAGTATGAAGTTGATTTTGGGTCAAACTGATAAAGTTGGACTGCACCACCTTTAATACACCCACACTAGAGAGGTGAGCACAGGGATCCTTGGGCAGCACATGCAGCCAGGACATGTTTGGCAACACAAAGAGTGAGCAATACTCATAACCACAAACAGCTCAAAGGAAATAATTGAATTTTAATTCCAGAAAATCACAACCGCTGGGTGAGTCAGGATGTGGCTCTGCATGGCCTTATGATGTGGCCCCTTACAGTGGTCCCTGTGTCTCTTGCCCTTGCTTACAAGGAACTCATCACAATAAAAGCCATCAGGAGTTATCTGAGCCTGCAGTCCTGGGTGCACTGCTGGTCAAGAATGGGACTGGCAGGGGAGGCATAGAAATTTGGGAGGATTTAAGTTAAAGGACATAGGGCTGTGTTTCACCGGCTGGCTCTCCCCAGGCTGGCTGGCTGGCAGTGCAGTGGTTGCACTTCAGGAGGCCGATGCCCCGTGCTCCACGTCCTCACCAGCACCACCCGGTTCACATGGGGTGGCAGAGTGCCACGTGGGCAAAAGGGATGGAGGACAACCCGGCCAGGAGCACCCCGAGGGGCCCGGCTGCCCCAGGAATGCACCCGGAGCAGTGTCAGCGCCTGGCAGGTGTTCCATGCTCGGCTCTGTGTGCTCAGGCAGGGCAGCACGTAGCAGCGCGGCTCCAGAGCGAAACACGTACCAGACACATTATTGAGACAGGAATTTCTTGTCATCCCAAGAGTTTTACTTACCTTTGTCATTTTAATGCATTGCACTCAGAGCCTGGTTTGAAAAAAAAACCCACAATACACTCCCCTTGGCTTTTCAGAGATAATTTAAGTCTCTGAAAGACCTTTTTAGGATTTCAGAGGTTCCCAGGGCAAGGATGAAATACCAGGAGAGCGCCAGCAACATGTAGCTTTTGCACTACAGGGGGCTTCCAATCAGAGAAAACCCTGCAGGAACAAGCATTTTGCCCAGAGT